AGCCTCAGCCTCAGCCGCGCCGCGCCGCCGCCGCCGCCGCCGCCGCCGCCACACACTGGGGGCTCTGCGCGCGCGCTCTCGGGGCCGCGCACACGGGCCCGCGCGCACCCTCCGAGCGGCCACCGCCGCAGTCCCGGCGCGCCGAGGAGGGCTGGGCCCCGGCTCGGCGGGCGCCAAAAGCCGGAGTCCGGGATCGCCGGGACGTGCGGAGCGGGAGCGCGGGCGTCGGGGGACCGGGCTGGAGAGGCACCGCCCCCCGCGCGCCTCCACCCGCGCCGGCCCCCGCGCGCTCCCCGAGCCACGCGCGCGCCCACGCTTCCGCCCCCACCCGCACTGCGCCGGCCGGCCCTGTACGCGCCCTCCCCTCCCGCAGGACTCCGAAAAACAATGCCCCGGGGCGCCGGTGGGACTCGGTAGCCGGGGAGGCGGCGGCGGCGGGGCGGGCGGGCTGCGGGTGCGGTGGGCGGGGAGTGCGGCCCCGGAGCTTCATTGAAAACAACAACAGCGCGGCTGGAGAGCGCGCCGGCCCCGCTCGGTGAAAAAGCTTCATTGTTTCTTGCAGCTGTTGCAAAATAAATAAATAAGTGCGTGCATGCGGCATCTTTTTTTTTTTTTTTCTTCTCGCCGCGTGGTGGAGAGCCCGGTCGCGGCGGGAGGGGGAGCACACCTGGGGGACAGGGGACCCCTGAAGACTGCTGCTACGCAGGGCACTTTCCACGCCGAGCTCGGGCGCCCGTGGCGGCGCTCCCCGGCTGTTCCGGTGCTTGCGCGCAGTCGGGGAGCGGACGGGGTGCGGTCCGCGTGGCCCTGTTCTCGGAGAGCACGGCGAGTCCACCGCGGGCCCCGAGCCCTGGAACGGGGACCCAGACAGGCGGCCCCTCGTGCCCAGGGCGGGCGCGTCTCCGTGGCGGCCGCCAGAGGGCGCGACGGCCGCCCGGGAGGCTGGCTCGGGAATGTCGCCTCCCTCCCTCCTTCCCTCCCTCCCTCTGGGGGAGGAAATGTGGGGGCCCCGAGTCGGGGACCGACTCGGCTGGGTCGTGTCGACCGGGCCTCCCATCCCCACCCCGTTCCAGCCCTGAGGGCGCTCCACCGCATCGCGCCGCTCGGTGCCCCACCACGTGGGCCGCTGCGGAGAGGGACCGCAGCGCGTGTCGGGCTGCGGGGACCCGGAGCTGGGGGGCGTGTCCGAGGGGTTCCCGCGGAAGGGATTCCGGGCGGGTACCCTAACCCGGACCGCGCGTCCTCTGGCTCGGATCCCAACCTAAGAACATGCGGCACTCGCCCCGGATCGGTGGCCACTGCAGAAACCCACCCGCACCTGCCTCAAAGCCTCCTCCCCTCTGCGTCCCTCCAGCTACGCTCGATCCATAAGTGACTAGAAACTAGCACCAGCCCAAGTCTTCTCGGTGGTTTTCTCGAACGTGCCAGAGGAGAGGTTTCCCCGAGACCAGGCTTCCCCGGGGCTGCCATCTAACGAACAAACACTGCGGAGGCCAGGTCCTCGAAGGGGGAGAAGGAGCTAGCAATGGCTGGAGAGAGGAGTTTGAGAGACGTGGACTTTTAAAAACAGTGGTTGGATCACGTGTCGCCCTTAATGCGGTCGGGCTTCATGACTCAGGCTAATTGATATCCACGGTAAATAAAAAGATGGCTCGTAAGAGTTGTGAATGTCTGGATCGAATAGGAGTGTTTGTCTCGTAAACAGTCGCGCTGTCTGGTTGGTGGAGAGGACCAGTTCTGTAGCAAAGAAAGGTTTCTTTCATTACTCGGATAGTAGAAGATTTCAGCGTTACACTTATGCATCCCATCTTTCAGAAGGGATTTTTTTTATTATTATTAAATTTTGAGCTGAAAACAAATCAAAAACTCCCATAAAGGAAACTAAGCCCACGTTTTTCTGTATCGTCTGAATCAGTTTTTCCCTCGGAAATTTTGGGCTCTGTTCAGTGAATTGGCTCTGTAGAAGGGACAGTTACAAAGCAAAGAAGGAAAACTATACATGTAGGGCTGTTTTTGTTTAGCTGAAACTTGCCTTATTTTTTAAATAAATTGTTTCAGTTTTAGATGTTCCTAGACGTTAAGAAATAAATATAAAGAACTTTGATATTAGATTCATCATTTAAAGATACAAATCTAGTCTTCTAATTTTAAAGTATTTCTTCAGAGCATTCCCTGCTCTTAAATGAGTCCAGTCTGGTGCTCTGAACGTATAATTCAAGTGCAAAGGAACAACATTAGATTTGATTTTAGAATGTTTTGATGCATACTTGTAGTCTAAGATGAAATCTAGTAGTGCTTTTTAGGTCTGTGCAACATAAAAATCTTTAAATGCAATATGATCTTAATATTAGTTGTGAAAATGTTTGCACATTTGTCCCTGCAAGCATAAGTATATAGAACAAAGAGAAACATAACAGTTATTTGTGGGGGAAGTAGAGGTTTGCTTTAGTGCTTTTAGTTGTTTTCTACCAAAAAATTATATTCTACCTGTGACTTTTGAAATGTTTTCTTAAAGTAGTAGGGACATCAGTAAGATGACTGCTGTTAGACAGAGAAGTAAGTGCTTAACCTTTGGAAGGTGAGATGAAAGCTGCCTTGCCTTTAGGCTCTGCCTTTACACTGAGAAGCATGCTGGCTTTCACTTCCTTCAGTGATCACCTTCTGCCTACCCAATCAAACCTACTTTTGTTCAACCCTGGAAGTCCTGCACACCTACAGGGGTGCTGACTCACACATTTTGTTTTACATCCTTTTCCCCAGTCAACTTACACATTCTCCTTTTTTGAGCAGAAATCGGTTTCTTGTTTTCTTTTCTTTTCTTTTTTTTTAAATTTGACAACAGCTTCAGATCTAATTGTCCTGTTGAATGCACCAGACTCCCCGTAGATGTAACACATATGTGATGGACACATAAGGCACAGCCCAGACAATTGACAAACGAATAAGGTAATAGGCTATGTTGTGATCTGTTTCCAGAATGAAATCTTAATCCACAACAAGGGTTTAAACTACAGCCTAGACATCATGGGCAAGATCTTCCAGACAGAATGTTGAGAAAAATATATTCAAGTTCTAGAAAGCCACATAACATGATACCATTTTTAATGAAGCTCTTAAAGGCAAAGAAAAAATGAAAAGGTTTTTTTTTTTTTTCTGAACGACAATATTCAGTACATGGCTGTATAAATAAATATATCAACTATATAAAGGGTGAGTGAAGGGTATTTATTTCCTTGGAGGGAAGAGGAGAATCCCCTGAGCACACAGAAAGTTCTTGGAAATGTGAAGGATTTATAAACCTCCATTTTATGATTATGACTAACACATGTTCCAAGAATTTTTGCATATATTGAATATTAAAGAAAACAAAGTATGTGAGAGATTTAAAGTTTTTTCAATAGGAATCTCCCAGGTTTTAATTTGTGTTGTAAACAAACTAGAAATATTTTTAAGAAAAACTAAAATGATGTAATTAATCTGATACTAAAGAATACATTTCAGAAGAGTGTATACCCACACTTTATCAATGCTTTAAGACAAAAAAAAATAAATAAATAAAAAAACATAAAATGAAATAAAAGAATTCACTTTGTAGGACGATCGGCTTCATTAGCAAACATCCATATTACCAAACTGGCAG